CAGGTGCCAGTGTGTTCTTTATCCTCGACTTTTTCAAGGGTTATGGCAGTTTGCGCTGGACGAAGCGTCGCAAGAAATGTTTTCGTTCCTGACCGACACCGGCGTGTACACGCCGACGCACGTGCTCATGGGGGGTACCGACAGCGTGGCGTACTGCCAATCGTCGGTTCAAGAAATGTTCCAAGACGAGCTCTACCGCTCGTTATTGATCTGGATGGGCGATTTGTTGGGCTACGGCAAGTCCGAGGAGGGGTTGTTGGCCGCGCTCCAACACGTCCTGGCCATCTGTGAGTCGCACGGACTCAAGCTGAACCCGAAGAAGTGTCGTTTCTTTGAAACCGAAGCGCGCTGGTGTGGCCGAATTTTGTCGTCCGAAGGAGTCAAGCACGACCCGGAACGCATCAAGGCGTTGCAAGATCTGGAGATGCCGGTGACCGGGCAAGATCTGCAGCAATTCATATGCGCCCTGAATTAGATGCGCATGTCGATCCCAAAGTACAATGTCATTGTACAGCCGATTACCGATCTGCTAGAGTCGGTGTACAAGGCGGCTGGTGGACGCACTCGACAGAAGGTGGCCAAAGTTGTGTTGGCCGACGTGGGATGGAACGCTGAGCATGTAGCGTGCCTCACAAGTTGCAAGGATGCCCTGGGCCATGTGGTGACCCTCGCCCATCCAAAGCCGGAGCGGCTTATTTGTGTGTTCGCCGACGCCAGCGATTTGCATTGGGGCGGCGTAGTGACTCAAATTCCTCACGATCAGGTGGATCGTGAATTGGACGCGCAAGACCATGAGCCGCTGATGTTTCTGAGCGGCGCAACGATGGGCTATCGTCGAGAAGGAGGCATTCTCGATCGTGGAGTGTCTGAAGCGTGCAGACTACCTGTTTCACAAGCCCGATGGATTTGCGTTGTTCACTGACCACGCAAACCTCAAGTTCATTTTCAACCCGGCCAGTTTGTACAATCCCGAAGTACACTACAGCGAAACTCGATCGCTGGGCGCTACTACTCATGGGGTACGATTACACCATTTATGACATCTCTAGTGATGTCAACGTTTGGGTGGATTTGTTGTCCCGATGGGAACCAAATTCCAATCTTATATGCCCATCGTGCACGTGCCATTGCAGATTTCACCGTTGCGAAATGGCGAATTCACTTGGCCAACCATGGCCGAGATCGTGGATGCTCAAGTCCAAGCCGTTGGAAAAGGAGAATTTCCTGTCGCCAAGCTGGTGGAACAACAGGTGGAAGTGGGCGACAACTGCATTTTTGAAATTCAAAATTTGGTGACGGGGGTGGTCCGTGAAGCCCACAGCAGTCGTCTCAAGTTTTATGCCGACGACGCCTTGGAGGTGACGGAAGAACTGCTGCGCCACATCGCGCACAACGCCGACGGACATGTGGTCGATCATTTCCTCGACTGCCGCTACAACGATCGAATGGCCGTTTTTGAAGTGTGTGTGCGCTGGCGCGGCCTACAAGCAATTGAAGACTCGTGGGAGCCGGCGGACAATTTGTTGCCAACTGACTTCAAGCGCTACGTGCGCTCAAACAAGGCCGATCCCCAAGTCAAGGCGATGGCAACTGCGTTGGGCTTGACGCAATCGTTGGGGGGGATTGTTGCGAATTTGACATTCGCAGAACCCCTGAACCCCTCCCAAGAAGGTATCCAAGTGTTCGATTAGGTTGGATATCCTGGGTGTGATCCTATTGGCTAGTTAGATTATTGGATGTCCAGCAGCTGTCTGATTAGGTTAGGGTTAAGCCCCAGTGACTTTTGCCTCTAGGGGGAATTCACTTTGTGATTTGCCTTTTGGATCGGACATCGCAAGGTCCGTCAAGTTAAGACGCAACAAACCCCCCACGGCCTCCTGTCCCCTCCACAACGATTGTGCTTGTAGATTATATACATGTGAAAGCACACAACCACCATTCTACGAGGTTAGAGCCACCATTCACGACATCATGACTAGCTTGCATGATGTCGTGAATGGTGATATACATGTGAAAGCACACAACCAAATGGTGATATACATGTGAAAGCACACAAACACCATTCTACGAGGTTAGAGCCACCATTCACGACATCATGCAAGCTAGTCATGATATCGTGAATGGTGGCTCTAACCTCGTAGAATGATGGTTGTATGCTTTCACATGTATATAATCTACAAGCACAATCGTTGTGGAGGGGACAGGAGGCCGTGGGGGGTTATATGTAGGGGTTGCAATCGATACAGCTGTAGCGATTTACATGCACTATGCGCCAGTCGCACATAGTGACTGAAACCTGTAATTTTAGGTGTGGATTCACCGCCACTCTGACCCAAATATCTAGCTAGCACATACTTGTACATGTACATGCATAACTACCAGTAGTCGTTGAGCCCGTCAACTGGTTATTCACACCAAATCGCGTTGCACACATGTAAAAACGCAAGGGAACCTCATAAACCACACTAGTACGTTGCATTGCCATCTCAATGCGACTGCTTGCATGGTTGATGACTCTGGTAGAACTCTTCGTTCGGCATCCAGGCCGTCTTCTCCGTGGTCAGCCTCGATCTGCTGCATCCGTTCCTCGCAGCCTACGCGAGTTACTTGTCCTCCTCGGGGTCCTCAACGCCCTCATCATCCCGCTCTGCCTCGTGGAAACCATGTACGCGCTGCGCTACACGAATGCCATCGTGGTCGGTTTACTCTGTAGTGGAGTTGCTGATCATTGATGCGAGCAACAACGACGGGCAAATCACCAGCAGTAACACCTCCACTCGTTTTTACTATGCTAGTTGTAAGTGAAGGTACCTCCAAAGCACAGCAAACAGACACGAAGAAGCAGCATGGCCTCTGCCCAAACTTATCTGCAATTATTGATTTCCAGGAATAATTGGTTTTGATTGGATACGTGCAATTATTTATAACCAATCACAGTCTTCCAATAACTTCACTATGAAATTTGCCGTCAAGCGCCGACTGAAAATGGACTTGGACGTGCTAGGTGTCCTACACGCCCAATGCCTTCCGTTGGAGTCGCAAACGTGGAATATCCTTTCTGCACCGTACCATGTAATTACAAGTTCAAGATATCATGTATAAACAGCTCCAAATAAGACCCAGGCAGGATCAATCGGAAGGACACACTACTATGCGAGCTCTAGTGTAGGCTGACTGTCACAAATGCGCTGCTGCGGGAGGCTAGTGGCGTGAATTACATACACTATGCACGTTTACTTCGGGTCACCAGGCTCCCGCTGCAACGTCTGATGGCGCTATCTCCTACACACGCGCTTGCTCCAGGACCCCAGCCATTCATACATGGCTCACATATCCTTTCTGCACTGTACGATATAACTGTAGCGATGTGACAGGTGGGTTAACGGCTTGCCACCACCTTGCCCGCACCCAGCTCCTAAGTACCTGGCTCATGACGAACCCTAGCTAATGCTTGCCTGGGAATGTGTCTCAAGGGCAAGTATGGCTTAGAATCGCTAGCCTAGTGAAGTTCCCCAATGTCTCAACC